GGTCCGCACAGTTAAAGGAGGTCAACACAGACGGATTAAACGATGGTCAACACAATCTATCCAAAATTTGGAGCCACGAGATGCCAAAAGATGGCAATAATCAGGTCGGAAGGTGGCCAACACAGTCTTCCGGAGTTGATGGTTACCAGACGAGGTGATGGAATCTCGTACGATGGCGGCAGATTAATCCCGGGGGGGCGAGGGAAATTGGAGCGCTGGAGGACGGCACACCAGAGGGCCGGCGCGATGGAAAAACTCAGCTGAGCGCCAGGCTGGACGTCAGCAGTCGCTGGGCCGGAGCTGGAGCGCTGAGAGGCTGACAGGAAGGCGATGGAAAGCAGGCGCGCTGGGGGCCGGCGTGCCAGAGGCCGGCGCGATGGAAGGCCCAGCCAAGTGCTAGGCCGGACGGCCACAGCCGCCGGACCGAAGCCGGAGCGCCGGGAGGGCAACGGAGAGGCAACAGGATGCAGGCACGCCAGAGGCCGCGATGAAAGGCTCCGCGATGAAGGCTCTGCTGGACACCAGGCCGGACGGCAACAGCGGCCGCCGGGCCCAGCCGTCGCCGGGCCGGAGCTGGGGCTGGGGCGCCGAGAGGGCGACGAAAAGCAGGCGATAGAGAATCCAGCCAGGCCGCACGGCAGCAGCGCGGCAGCACAGGCTGCCAGTCAATCCAAGCAGCACTCCAAGCTGGAAAATGGCGGCACGGCTTCCCCGCAGTCCATCCGCGTCCCGCGATATTCCAAGCCAAGAGGGAGCGCGCTCAGGCCCAGATGGAAGCAGGCCTCGCTCTACCTCACCCAGAAGCCAAGGTCCAGCCGGCGCAGCTAAAGCAGCCAAACAGCCAGGCGTCCACGGACGCAGCCGGAACGGCGGGGGAACCGCCCGGCCGGGCGGGAGGAAAACGCCGGCACAAAAAGGATCGAACTCTCCCAAAGCCAGGCCGCCAAACCGCCGGGCCGCTGTGCAGCCGAACAAACCTCCACTTCTCTGTCCAGAAGGATGCTGGTAGGTAAAGCTGGACACTAGAGACTGGAGGGTGAAGGGGTTTGGAGGGTCCAGTGGGGAGGAGGTAGTGAGTTTGTGGCCGATAATGGCGGCCTATTATCTCTCTCCTTCTCCTCCTTCCACGCTTGCTCGCCTTTCCTTCTCCGGCGCTCCCCAATTAAGCCCCCCCAGGATCACCTTCGTGACCCTGGGTTGATGTATATGCAGGGGGCGACTTACGGAATCCCCAAAAGGGGGGCTTGAGCAAGAATAAGCTGGAAAATATAGAGCCCTCCCTTCCCGTGTGGGAGGTTCGCTGCTTACCACGCCGCCATCATACCGGAAGATGGGCAATTCTCTGTGGGTTATACATTTGCCTATTTGTATTACACCCAAGACTCTACCTACTTATCTAGGTATACTTAAGTAAGTAGCTGATCTAGATTTCTGGTACTTGCGAAGATTATTAAAAAGAAAAATTGCTGCTAACTAGGTGGAGGATCAGTGAGGAAATCAATGGGAACTCATTGGGCATCAATTTATAAATATATTTCATGTGGAAATGGAATGGAATAGTATCTGATGTAATGTTTCATTTGGAAATATTCCATCAGAAACTGTTATCAAACATATCGATTTGCCATTAAAAAATTCAAAGAAGTGCCAGTGCAATTGTTTTGAAGCTGGACATTTTACTAATCCATGTGAACAAATTATATGCCCAAGCTATTCCAACTCTTCCATACAATGTACAGAAAGTATAAAAAGGGAAAAAAGCCAAATAGTGCACTGTAAAGTTCTTTACAGAAACAAACACTATTAATGGTAAGTTCCTCGTGAAGCTTTCAGAATCTTATTTAGCAAAATACATTAGAAAACAAACCTAAAATTTTATTCTACTTTTATTTTCACAACTGATGTGCTTGTATTGAATTATGTAGCTATTCTACCTTATTAGAATTTCTATTTTCCCTTTGCTGCCTTAAAAAAAAAATTGTGTTTTTTCCTGTGGTATTTTTGGAAGTACACAAGAAGCAGCAAAAACTGTGGGTTCATCATATGTCCCCAGAACCATAAATTGAGGCTGGATGAAGAAAGAGGGATACAGTGGTAAAGCAGCTTGTGGGAGAAGCAGTGATAGATGGTTTGGGTGTGGCTGAAATTGGGAGGAGTCCTAGCACAGAGGGGGGGAAAACAGTTG